CCCCAAAACCCCAAAACCCCAAAACCCCAAAAAGATATTTCTGTGAAATTAAGAAATTAGTATGGATTACAGCCTAAGAAAAATATTTCGTGGATTTGAATGTCAAGCTGACAGTGTTCATAAAGTGCATTGAGTAATGTCCTGGGAAAGCAATCTCATTCTCTCCTGTTTGAGAGAATAGATCTGTCATATCGAAATAGTCTGAAGTCTGAAGAGAGTTTCCAACTGTGATTGAATGCTTCATTCCTGTTTCACTCGATGGAAGCTTAAATATTAGGGTTTGTGAAGAAGTAGTTCCTTTAGTTCCTCCAACTAAGAGACATTCATTGCTTGTAATTGGGATAATTCCTTGGTAGCATACTCCATCAGGTAGTTTTTCGTCTAAAAGTTCCCATTGAGCTTGAGGATCACTGAGATTTAATCTTTCAATGTTTTTACTGAGAGGATCTTGCTGTTTTTGTTTTTCAATTCCTCCAAAACAGTACAAATATCCTCCCAAGATAGCTAGTCCAGGTTTGGCTTTACTTTCATTCAATGGTCTGAGGTAGGTCCATTCGTTCTTAGAAATGTCAAATACTTCGGTATGGTCTGTGGTCATTTCATAACTAACATCACCACCAACAACATAGATCTTTTTATGGTCTTGAGAGAAAATGGCTCCGAAGTTGCACCTGGCTGTGTTCATCTTTGCAATGATCTCTGATCTACAAGCTGTAAAGTCAACTCTTCTGGTTTTGGAGTAAACTCTGCCCATTTCGTCATTATTTGCTCCACCAAGTAAGTAAATCTGGTCTTTGTTATTATGCAGAAGTTTGAAGAATGATAGATTCTCAGCCCTGAAAATCTGTGGTCTCTTAATCTGCCCAGTCCGAGTGATTCTATAAACCTCATGTCCTCTGTTCTTAAAGAAATGAGAATGAAGAATTTTAGGCCAGGTAAAGGATATAGAAGAATCTTTGTTCACCTCAGAATCGGTTTTGGTCTCTTCAGACATATGAGCATCAGTCTGTTCTAGAATAGCATCTTGAGGAGGAGCTTCTTTCTGTATAGCCATTTCAACATTCGAAGGAGTATCATCAGTCATTTCAACATCTCTTTGTTCAACTTCTTCCTTTATCTCTTTATCAGAAGTATTTACTGAAGTTGGTTTTGGCCTCTGAGGTTGACCTGAGCTCACAGTTTGAGCTACATTGACATTCTGAGTTAACTTAGAAGGCTCAGGCTTAGAAACCACAGGCCTAGTTACATTCACTGGAGAAGGCTTAACATTAACAGTCTGAGCTGGCTTAGCAGCTTTAGGAGCCCCAAATCCTGGAAGAGGGGGCATACTTATCTTTGGAGCCTGAGTCTGAGGCTTTTTCATCACTGCGCTTCCGATATTCTGTTGCCCAGGAATCTGAATACTGAACGCTGAACCCAAAGTCTGTGACAAATTCTTGTTTTCAATCTTTTGAGGTTCTTTTTGAGCTACAGGAGTACTGCTAAAGCTAGGTTTCTGAACATTCTGATGGGTTACAGGAGTTTGTGTCTTTGTCTCTTTAGAAACTCCCTGAGTATTCTGCTGAGCAGGAGCCTGGGAAAATTTCGGAGGCATTCCAATTCTCATATTCGATAGCAGATTTGCAGGTCTGTTCTGAATCTGTGGTTGAGAAGCTAAATTTTGTACTTGAGAGTTAGTAGCAGTGACATTCTGTTGAGGCTTCATATGAGACACTTGAGGATTACCTTGTGCAGTAGCATGAGACTGAGCCATCTTTTGATCCTGGGGAGTTCTTCCTTGAGTGTTTGCAGTCTGGGTATTTTGATATTTCTGTTTTTGAGAATCCATACCTGGGTATAACAAATGAGAAGGTTTCGATAGGGCTTCACTAAATTTTACCTGCTGTTTTTCTTCAACTTGTGGTTTTACAGGCTGAGAGATCTGAGCCTGTGGAGTTTGTGTTACTTGAGGCCTTTGAGCCTGAGCAACTTGAGGTCTCTGAGCTAAAGGAGTTTGAGGTTGTTGAGCATGAGACGTTTGAGGTTTTAGAGGGTGTGCAATTTGAGGCTTTTGAGATTGAATAACTTGAGGCCTAGCAGCTGGGAAATTTTGGGATCTTTGAGGTTGGGATACTTGAGGATGGTTATGCTGTTGGATCTGAGAATGGCTAGGCTGTTGAACTTGAGAATGGCTAGGCTGTTGAACTTGAGAATGGCTAGGCTGTTGAACTTGAGAATGGCTAGGCTGCTGAACTTGAGAATGGCTAGGCTGCTGAACTTGAGGATGGCTAGGCTGCAGAACATGAGGATGGTTATGTTGTTGAACTTGAGGCCTCTGTATTTGGTTTACTTGTGGCTTCATTTGTTGGATCATTTGAGATGTCAAAGATTGAGGAGCCTGATTTATACTATTTTGCGGAGCTTGGGTTTGAGGCATTTGACGTGATTTAACAGGACTGTTTCTTGCATTCCTCTTACAACTTGGTTGTTCATCAATCATGATACAATTACTTGCCATTTCTATCAAAGGAGTTCCATACAATTTACTATCATTGTTAAAGTTGACTATAGACTTGGCTTTCAAAGATCCATTGGAGTATAAATCATCAAGCTTTTCTCGACTCTGATCCATATGGTTCAAAAACCCATCAAAATAGTCTTTTCTTCTAGTAATATATGCAAACTGTTTACTGTCCATTTTGGTGTCAAATCTTTTCTTTTCATCCATAATTCTCTTAATGCATTCTTCCTGAAGCTCAGGAGCGTTTTCAATGACTGCCTTGAGTTCAGCCATGTTCAGTGAGGATTCAGCTTCTCTCAAGAGAGTTTCTTCAGTTTTGTTGATATCTTCCAAAAGGCTATCAAAGAAGACATTTATGTCCTTTTCACATTTTTCTCTCAGTTGAATCGACTTCAGATTTCTGCATTTAGATGAGGAATTTTTAAACTTAACAAAATTGTTCTGGAGGCCTGACTCAAGATCTCTAGCTATAGCTCCTAAAGGAACCACTCCATCAGTGTTGGCTTGGTTAAAAAGCTCACTGTTGCAGACAGGTATTCCTCTAGTCGTGTCGAAGGCTGTGAAAGGCATCCCTGTCCTCTGATTCCTCTCTATCTTAGGAAACATGTTCTCATTCGGATTGTTATAAATATTGCAATATATATTTATTACTGTGGGGTTTTGGGGTTTTGGGGTTTTGGGG